TTAACTACGATATTAGAACTAGCATATAAACGTTTCGGAGTGATAAGGATGATTTAACCGTCAATCCTAAGTAAAGGTCTAGATTCACCTTATTCGGTGTATAGATCAAGATGGCAAGAACCCGTAGCGGAAACGTGAATGCAAATGGGAACAGGAACCAACCCCCAGTGGTTCAGCAAATACCTGTTGTTGAAGAAGTTGCGCCTGAGCCAGTCACCATGGCTGGAGTTCAAGCCATGATTCGGGCTATGTTAGCTGAACAAAGGGAAGAAATGAGACAGATGTTGAATAGGGACGAACCTACCGTACATGTTGAACCGACGGAGCCAGTTCCCGAGCAATCTGAGGAAGGGAACTACAGCCGCCAAGTGAGTCAAGTAGGGACTCAAGGTGAGCAAAGGGATGGCCCAGAAGGGAGAAACAACAAGGATGGGCGGATGTACAAGAATTTCTTGGGTGCGAAACCACCAAGCCTCTCAGGAAGCCCGAAGCCGGTTGAGATTATGGATTGGATCTCTGAGATGGAGATGGTGTTTGAGAGCTGCAGCTGTAACGAGAAACAGAAGACTGTCTTCGCAGTAAGACAACTGAAAACTGGAGTCTTGAGCTGGTGGAAGCTATTGGCAGATACGATGCCACGAGGAGAAGCCTTAAGGATGTCGTGGGAAGAGTTTTTGGAACAGTTGAAAATGCAATACTGCTCGGAGATAGATCTGATAGACCTAAACAACGAGTTTCAGAACCTGAAGAAAGGGAAGATGAGTGTTGATGAGTATGCCACCGCATTCACCGAAAGGATGAAGCTATTCCCCTACTTGGTGCCTACTGAACTCTCCAAGATTGATAGGTTTGCTAACGGACTGCCCACTGACTTTGGCCCAATGGTCAAAATGGCAACTACTTTGAAAGCAGCTGTTAGGGCAGCTAAGAACGTAGAGGCCCAGATAAGAGAAAAGGGTCTAGAAAAAGATAAGGTAGGAGAGAAGCGGAAGTTTGAAGGATCTTCGAGGCCGAACAAGGAAAGCAAATTCTCAAAGCTTGGAGGAGCAGATGGAGGTGAAGCAAGATGGTGTGATAGATGCAAGAAGAAGCATGGTGGAAAGTGCAACGAAGAAGTGACTTGTTACAAGTGTGGGAGGACTGGTCACTATTCCAAAGACTGCACGCATAATGACAAAGTATGCTACGGATGTGGAGGCAAGGGGCACATGTCCAGAGACTGCCCAAGGAAAAATAAAGCAGCAAGACCAGAAACGCCACCAAGGCCGAGGGCATTTCACATGATCCTTGACGAGGCAGAAACCATGCAAGGAATCAAGAATGAGGACTTCTTACCCGAAGATCGGATTATGCAGTAGCCATAGTTTCGTATGATGTAGCCTAGTAGAGGCATAGTCTAGGGTGAACTTGAACACCTATGTAATAGTTTCGAGAAATAATAAATCTTCGTTTTGTTATCTGGTGTGTGAAATTGTTGTGTGATTTGCTTGCATGGTGACTTGGGAAACTGCGAGACAATACTTGGGATGAGTATGAGTAGGTGTGAATGGTAGTAGAGGCCTATACTACCGGAAGCACAGGACTCACACTTGGATCAGGGAAAGTCACAAGGTTACCAAGAAGCTAGTAATTGATTTCGTTTTATTCAAGTATGTCGTTACCATTGTTTCGGTAATGACTAAGAAGATTGTTGTTATCCCGACCCTAGTGGTCGTATCACATTGAGTCCGAATACAATGAGTAGGTTACGTGGTTCAGAGAACCAAGTTTGATGTAGCGTCCGACTTAAACCAAACGATTGAAATCAAAGCGATCAATAGAAGTATCACGATCGTTGTTAAATAAGTTGGTAGCTAGAAATGCTACATGTTAAAAGATGATTATATCACATTAGATGATGAAGGAAGGCATATTCCATTCCGGAATTTGACTCTAAGAGACCTGAGTCTAAGCATTGCTACATACGATGATAGGTCATTAGAATATGACATATCGGTCAATTGTAGTAATCAAATTAACTTATCCTAAGTTTATTAAGAGGAAGAAGGAGTCTCTGATAAAGAATGAGGTCGTGACACGAAGGTCATGATTGAAAGTCTAACGAGCAGGTGCAAGACCGAGCACCGCCTGCAGTCAAGGAGTCCAAGAGTTAGATACTCGTTTGAAGCAACATAGAAGCTACAGTTATTTCCTAGGGTGAAGAGATAATGTATGGAGCCATTATACAATCCTGTTTCGTTGATGATTCCGGGACGTAATCATCCTAAGGGGGAGATAATTGTAACGCCCGTAGATCCGGGCAAGTCAATTTAGAGGCAATATGGGTCGAAAACGACTTTTCGGCAAAAGATTATTTAGAATAAATAATTTTAACCAAGTTATATTATATGTCACAAGGTTTCCGTACATATAAAGAATGCCGAAATCTGAGTTATAACGAAGAAGTTATGGCCCGTCGAAGTTTTACGGCAAAACCGGCACGGCACCGGGAAGCGTAAAAAGTGAATTTATGATAGAAGACTTTTTAGCCTTAGTTATCTAAACCAAAGTCATAGATTATGTTAAAATGAGAAAATCCATAAAAAGAACGCCCAAGTCTGACTTTGTATGAGGAAGTTATGATTTTTCAAAGTTTCAGCTTAGTAGTGTACAGCCCGAAACTCGAATTTTAGTTCGAGCGGTTTTTGGCTTACGCGACCTAAATGAGAGTTAAAGATCTCATTAATAGGAACTCAACAGTAAAAATATGGACAAAAACGGAGTTCGTATGAAAGAGTTACGAATTCTTTGCGGTCATTTAACAGTCTAAACGCCTCCTACTGTTAAATTTATGATCGGTCGAGAATTAGCCGATGGAGCCAAAATGAAAGTTGTAGATATTATTTTTACCTACGCATGGATATAAAGAACGTCGAAAATGGAGATAGTATGAGATAGATATAGAGGAAGCTTAGTCGCTACTTTTCGAGCGCGGCGAATTCGATACAGTTTTGTAAATCCGAGATAGAATGAGAATTAGCCAACGAGGTCTAAATGAGAGTTGAAGATCTCATTAATAGGAACTCAACAGTAAAAAGACATAAAAAAATGGGGCTCGTATGCGAAAGTTATGGACGAAGCTTAGTCCCTACTTTTCGAGCGCGGCGAATTCGATACAGTTTTGTAAATCCGAGATAGAATGAGAATTAGCCAACGAGGTCTAAATGAAAGTTGAAGATCTCATTAATAGGAACTCAATGGTAAAAATACAGACAAAAACGGAGCTCGTATGCAAAAGTTACGGACGAAGCTTAGAGACTACTTTACTATAAAACTCCTATAAATACAAGGGAGAACTCCTGATATTTTCTTCACACCATAAGCCTCTCTTTCTCTCTCTAACTTCTCTCTAGCCTCCCTAAACCCCTCCCAAGTCTACGGAACCTCCCTAGCACGAGAAGAAAGCCCCGAAACGCCCGACGGCTCCGAGAAGAAAAGCTTTCAGCTTGGAAACGCTGCTCCTGCGAAGCCCGGTTTTTAATAAAATCTCGTTGTAAGTGAGCTACGCCTATACTATATTTAATATAGATTTTATTTAATTATAGTAACATTATTAGGACCTTAAAATAATTATTTGGGCTATTATTATGAGTTATATTGAGTGTTATTTAACGCTTATATAATAGTAATAATAGCTAGACTATTAATTAGTCGTGGTTAACGTTAAACACTAAACCCTAGTGGTATTGATACTAGGTTTTGTCGAGGAAAATTGTTTTGAGATAACGAAGTGCTGTCTGAGTTCGGAATCACCACCTAATCAGGTGAGTGCATAGTCCCTTTCATCTTACACATAGATATGAAGTATTTTATATAAACTACGTGCTATGTGTGCATATTATCTGAATACTTGCTGTCTATGCTGGATGAACGTTTTATACATGTTTTAAAGGATTTAAACTGTATACGTATTTTATATACACAAATATGTTGCGTATGATGATGGGTAGATGAATGATGAGAGATAGAAGATGACGTGAGTATACATTGGCAGCTATAGACTTAGTGCCTATGGGACAAACACCGGTAGCTATGGACTTAGTACCTGTTAGACGTTGGTAGCTATGGATTTAGTACCTGTTGGGAATTGGTAGCTATGGACTTCGTACCTATTAGTTAGACACTGGTAGCTTTGGATTTAGTACCTGTAGGAATTGGTAGATATGGACTTAGTACCTGTTGAGCATTGGTAGCTATGGATTTAGTACCCGATGAATAGACTATAGCAGCTATGGAATTAGTGCTTTACGAACGAATATCAGCAGCTATGGATTTAGTGCCAGTCCTATAACCCTGGAAGTAAGGGACTTTGGAATAAACGAATGCAGAACAGATGAGTCTTAGGACACTACTAGAAAAACAGCCTTTTACGACGCTCATTGCGCGTCGTAAAAGGCTCAGACGACGCGCAAATGCGCGTCAAAGAAGGCCCTGTCATAAAGAGAGACGACGCGCATTTACGACGCTCATTTACGACGCGCAATTACGACGCACGTTTACGACACGCAATGCGTATCAAGGAAGGCCCTATCATAAAGGAAGACGACACGCATTCGCGTGTCGTAACCTTACGACGCGCGTGTTAATGACACGCAATGCGTATCAAGAAAGCCCCTGTCAAGAAAGGCCATGTCATAAATGAAGATGACACACATTTTTGCGTATCGTAAATTTAAATGTTTAGAAAAAATATTATTTATAGATTTACTTATTTTCAAATTAAATTTGTATTTAATGTTTCATAATAGAAAATAAAATATAATATACAAAAAATAGATTCCATTGCATAAATTTAATGTCATACAAATAATCGTTCCATGGAAAGATAAAACAAATCAATAGAAGTTGTAACAAAAATTTACAAACTAATTACATAGAAGAAATATGAAAAACTTCAAATCCCTGAGATTAATAGTTCTAACAAAAGCTTCACATGAGATACATACAGTTGGACCAGTAAGCTAGGATGTTCCCGAATCGACAACAGTAGCTAGCACAAGAACACATACACGATATCTTCTGCTAGAATTCACAACTATAGTTGCAGCCGTGCTCCTTCTTCTTCTTCTGAACTCATTTCTTGCAACCATTGCTGTAAGCCTAGTCTGAATGGATACAACAGGATGTAAATGCTTGTATGATGTTCTTCCTGCACCTCCTTAAATACTTTTAAAGGACATGAAAAACATAACTACCAAGGGCAAAGCCAAGGGCAGGAGATTCTCTATTCTAATGGACATCATAATGTAAATAGTAAATAGTATATACCATTTCAAGATCATTGTCCATATTTGCCTTGTCAAGGATAACCACAAAAGATCAAATCTTGATAGATTGGTTGGAGTTCTACGTAGATCATATCTCCCCCTGAATCATCAAACAAAACATTCAAAACACAATTTAAGGAATAGATGTAAAGATAAAAATACCACTACTACTCCAGCTTTCTCCAAAACTACAAAACACAATCAAAATTATGATCAAAGAAAGTGATTATACAAGCATCCAATCACGAATATAGCATCGTGCTTTTATATTTTTCCTATTAGAAAATAGCACTCTGAAAAATCTACCCAAATTTTCACTTATTGGGACATTGTACTGTGAAAAACCTACTCAATATAGCAACAAAACAAATCTTTATTACCTGAGCACACCGTGGTACCTGTAGCACATACCAGTTCCTTTCGTGAATCCACTTAGGTTGATCTAACCGGCATGCAAAATGGCTCTAACAATTCTCTGGTTCACTCTCCACATTTCTTCACCAACATCATCATCTTTAGCAATCCATGGCTGTAATTCTCTCTCAACCTAACAATCAAAACAACATAGATTCAATTTTTTTTTAATATTGTAATAAGAAGAAATGTTAGGATAATGTTAGGATAATTTTTTTGACATCCATACCTAAGGAATACAAATTAATCCCTAGCAACCAATCTAAAGAACTGATTTTTGTTATTGTATATAGCTCTTCCCTCTGCAACAGTCTATCAATAACACATAAATTAAAAACAACTCTTTTGCTTTTTCAAATCTTTATTTACCTGAGCCCAACCGGACAATCAGTAACAGCATCAACAGACAACTCACCGGTATACCTAACAAATTGTAATACTAGTAAATAATGTAAACTGCAAGTTTCTTAAATAAATAGATTTTCACATATAAAGTGTTATCACTTTTAATTACTCTTTCAATCATTAGTCTCAGATTAATGTGTGTACACAATATTAAAAAAATCAAAAATCAAAATGCTTAAAGTTGTTTTCTTCTTCATATAGTTCACTAAGAAGCATTGTGCATACATATAAATGTGCATACGTATAAATGTTAAGATGATAAAATAAATTTAAAAAAAAATACCTTTACTGACACTGCATCCAAGATTATTGCTAACACGTAATGGATCAATAACATTAAAATGTTTGGAAACAAAAGTTTGCCCTTGGTTGTTCTGACCACCAGGAAAAACAGCATACAAAGAGCTACAAGCATCAAGAAATACTTTGTTCAACAACAATTCTCCACTGTCTTTACGAGGTGGCTCAGCTACAATTTTATAAGAATATGTCCACATCAGCATAAAGTCAAACATTGACTTCTGTTTATTATATTATTGAGAAGAAACTAGAAACATCATCATACACTATTACCAGTCACATCTGGAAGTGAGCTTACTGGCACAGGACCCCATAAGTTAACACAAAAGTTTTCCCAGTCAAAATTACTAACGAACTCCAGAAAACGGTAAAGTACCTGAAAATGCAGTGAGAGCATTCATAAACAAAGGTTCCAAATACATACCTGTAAAGGGTATGTTTGTAAATTGTGTGTTAAACAACCTCAAGAGGTCCAACAAAAGAATTGTTGAAAACATGGAATAATGTTGGTGTTAATCCAAACCAAGTGAAAGCCATGTATTTTATTCAGGGGCAATTCAGTCTTTTTGTTAGGAGTAATGGGGTATGACCAAGTAAATAGCCACGTTTGGCTCCAGAAAGTTAGTAAGCAGTCTTTCTAGGATAATTAGTTGCAAGTATCTTATATAAATATCCTTGTAATGGATTGATCATTGTAAAGGAATAAAACACAGAAAAATTGCCCTGCATCTTCTCTCACTCTTTTACTCTGTTTTTGTTGTGTGAAACAGGGCCTGAACCAACATTTGGTATCAGAGCGGGTTGAAGCTGCAGGTTTGAGAGTCGGTGTAGAGAAAGGAGGAGCAGCCCTTGGCTACAGGGCTGAGAACGGAAAAGAAGAATTATGTGAGATCAGCAGATAAAATGGTGAAGGGAGAGAAGAAGAAGAAGAAGAAGAAGAAGAAGAAGAACATGAAGGGGTTGAGTCAAGTGAAAACCCCAGAAGCTTTGCAGACCAAGAAGTACTCAGTCACAGCCAAGAGGAAGGGTCATACCTGGTTTGTAGCAGAAAGAAGAAAGACCGCTGCACAGCAGCAAATTAGAAAGAAGAATGAAGAATTGAAGATTGACTACTACAGTAGCGAAGGCTGATAGAAAGAAAGAAGAATGAAGAAAGAAAGAAAGAAAGAAAGAGAGTAAGAAAGAGGCCGGTTAATTACATGCTTACCTGAGAAAGATGAGAAAAAAGCAAGTAAAAAAGGCTTATCAAGGTGTGATTGGCAGAAAGAAGCATGCAGCAAGCAAATACTTTTGATCAAGAAAGATAGCATGTAGAAGACGACTGTCGAGGAAGAAAACAAGCAAGCAGGTCGAAGCAGCAAGTGTGATCACATTTGCTGATCAAAATAAATTAAGAATGAAAGCAAGTAAGAAGGCTGATCATGTTTGATGATCAGAAGAAAGAAACAAAAAAAGGATGATCAAACCAGGGTGGTTCTCGACTGTGGTGTGTTCCTGTTTCTGCTGTGGTGTTAATGGCTCACAGTGGTGTTGACAGTCTGGCTGTGATAGTGTGATCCCGAAGATAGCAAGCAGGTGGAGAAGAAAGACGCAACAGCAGAAAGTTGTTGTATGTTAGCAAGATTCGGTAAGCAAGAAAGCAAGAAAGCAAGAAGAAAGAAGAAAAGAAAGCAAGTAGCAAGAAGCAAGAAAGTGTAGCAAGCAAGAAGGTTGTCACATAGTTTGTAGCAAGTAGCAGACAAGACAATCATAGCAAGTAGAAAGTTTCGGGTTTGTAGCAAGTAGCAAACAAGAAACAAAATGCAAGAAGCAAGAATGAGACAGCATGAAAGAAAAGCAAGATAGCAAGCATGTAGTCTGTAGCAAGTAGTAGACAAGAATGAAATCAAGCAGCAAGAGCAATCTGTTTTGATTGAGGAAGAAAGAGAGAAGTTTGGCAGAAAAGGTTTGGATTAAGGGGGAGAATGTTGGTGTTAATCCAAACCAAGTCAAAGCCATGTATTTTATTCAGGGGCAATTCAGTCTTTTTGTTAGGAGTAATGGGGTATGACCAAGTAAATAGCCACGTTTGGCTCCAGAAAGTTAGTAAGCAGTCTTTCTAGGATAATTAGTTGCAAGTATCTTATATAAATATCCTTGTAATCGATTGATCATTGTAAAGGAATAAAACACAGAAAAATTGCCCTGCATCTTCTCTCACTCTTTTACTCTGTTTTTGTTGTGTGAAACAGGGCCTGAACCAACATATGTAAAGAACCAAAGTCTCAAGGGCATAAGTTGATATGAGCCCATGGTGAACACCAAGTATGCGGCTCTCATAATAACACCAGGCTTTGATTAGTATAATGCTCCTCTTAAACAAATGGTTATGGTTTATCAAATTATCAACCTCCTCAAGAAAGCACTTTATAATCTACCATAATGTTTTCAACAAGGCACTTTATAATCTTCACCTGTAGTTAAACAAACCATAAAGAAATCAGCTTGTAAACAAGTTGAGAAAAAAGATTGATAAGGGGGTGTACCTCAATCAAACACAAATTAAAATTTGCACAAGGCACTTTAATTTATTATTACCAACCATTTAAATCCCCCATTCTTTGCATTTATCAATACATTTGATTGCCAAAGCAGCCTCCTCTTGAAGTTGAAACTCACAGAAAACATTAGGGGTGTATATGTCTTTTGTGTTCTGGCATATAAAAAATGATAAGGGGGTGTACCTCAATCAAACACAAATTAAAATTTGAAGGGTAAATAAGTTGCTTCTTCATCACTGCATACTTGTATTATGGACGGACAATCAATCACCTCTTAAGTTACCTAAATGCTTTGCATTTGAACTCATCAGCAACGGTTTGTCATCATAACCTCCAAACATATCTGAATGTGATACCTGATATTTCTCAGTTGTATGATATTGTAAAGGTGAAACACTATTTGTAAAACCTGAATTATGTCTGTCAAAGTTATCTACATAATCAAATTTCAGTTCTTTGTGGATATTATTTGAAGGTCCAGTCATAAGGCCATGAGATTGTTCACTAGCACATTCCTTATTCATTGTTATGCACTTCTTTTCATATTGAAAAAACATGTGGACTAAATTCATAAGTGTCTATAAGGTTCTACTTATAAATCTTTCTATTTTCTGTTTTTGTAGTGCAAGGCATAATATAAACCTGGATAGCAGCAGTTAAAGCATGACCAATGTGTAGAGCTCCAGTAACATTAGGAGGTGGAAGAACCTGCATTTACACATAAACAAGACATCCATAACCAAATTACATTAATCAATGGTTTTTTACAAGCCACAAGCCACAATCCCAAAATCAATCTGTTTAAAAAGGTCTATAGAAACGTCACTGTTTATGAACATTTATAGACACGAAATAGCAGAGAAAATCACAAGAGACTCGTGATGGTGAAAGGAGGTTTAGAACTAAAACTCAGAATCTATGATTCCAAAGTCATGATAGGCTCTGCTTTATTTTCAATTCCATTTCCATCCATATTGTCTGTAACAGCAGGAACTCATTGGAGGGAAGCTTCTAACGCTTATGGAAGCCTTAACAGAACCTTTCGCCTCTTCACCATCATTTATGTTTTTCTCTTCTGCTTATAGAGATGCTTCCATAAGCACTGATAAGCCTCACTTCTACTCTCTAAGCATCTCAAACTATGCAGGTTTCAATGGCGATTTCCTTATCATTCCACAGTCCTCACTTCTACTCTCTAAGCATCTCAAACAATGACACTTGTGAAAACCTAACCGACATATGTCATTGAATTAATATAATTTAGCACAGAAGATTGTATCTTGAATAAATGGAATTTTGGTTTAGGAAAAGGTGAAACATCCGAACCCTAACGCACCTAAGAAATCAAACAAGAAGAATTAAAATAAGGGAGAAGGAACAAAGCATACCTGAGATGCTTAAAGAGTAGAAGTGAGGGCTGTGGAATGATAAGGAAATCGCCATTGAAACCTGCATAGTTTTTGAGTTAGGGTTTTCACAGGAGAAGATGAGAAGATCCAAAATCAAAATCAAAGCTATGAATAAAGGAGAGATTAAAGAAATAGAAGAACAAAAACATTAGGAAGAGAGAATAAACATAGCATATCTTAGTCGCGCTAGGGTGTGGAAATTTGAGCAGTCTCTGACGAGGTCACATGAGCCCGAGGTCGCCAGAGGAAAATACCCCTAAGGTCGTTGAAGGAGAAGTGAGCAAAGATGTTGCCGACGAGGTGAGGCGAGATCATCGATCGATTGTTGCAGAGGCCAGAGAGCACCAAGTGTTTCCGTTCTTGAAAAAAAGCCCTAGTCCCTGCGATTTTGTGGAATTTAGTAGCATTATCCTTGCTTGTCTTCTTCTTTTCTTCTTAAATCTAAATAACAATCTCTATGAAATCGCAGGTTGGCTTTTTAGGTTAGAGAGAGAGAGAGAGAGAGAGAGGGGAAGACGAAGAGGAGCCGGTTTTAATTTTCACATGGAATAGGCGGGGTTTTAATTTTTGGGGATTTCATTTCCCCCTTTCAAGAACGCGCGTTTTGAGTAAAACATAAAGCGACATTCACAGAGGGCGCACATTTTAGATAAAGTGCCCTCCGTGTTTTTATTTTTTTTACATGAGACACTAATCTAAGGGCACGCAATAATGCGTGACATAAATCCTTCAATTTTTTGAAGAGATGACACTTTTTTAATATCACTCCCTTTTGCGTAACATAAATCACCGAGTGTCGTGGTTTGCGCGTCGTTAAACGCTCTTTTTCTTGTAGTGGGAGTAAAGAAGATAACGGGGATGGGTAATTGGGTTAATTGTTTGATGATTGAACATAACAATTATATTATTGTGGGTTGAATATGTACTCACCAGGTTTCCCAACCTGACCCACTCAGTTTATTTACATCACAGGTGGCGATATGAAGTGACATTACACTGAGAGATTTAAAGAGATGTAGATCACTATTGTAAATAATTGTAAGTTCTGTTTATGCTTATGTTTCTGTATTAACGATGACATCCCAAACGTTTTAAGATGAATAAAAATACGTTTCTTCGAAAATGTTTTAATAACGTATTTATCGTGTTTTTCTGGGAACAAATTCCGCAACATTTTTATAAAATGAAGTACTCTGATTTTTATAAAGCATAAACAAAATCGGTCTTTTCTGACCGTGATTTTGGGGATGTCACAATAGTTGATCAGGCTATATCCATTCTAAATCTGATTACATAACTACCTAGGCCTACTCGTAATGTTAAACTTATCTTATTATTTTTTGTATTGTTCTTGTTATGACACCGTTCTAGTATGTATGTATGTACTTATACGTTATTAAAAATATCATTATATTTTAAAAGTATACTTGTACGAAATGTTTTAGTCAGAGAGTTTTAGTCCATTTGTATTTATAGTTGTATATCTTATATGGTTTCATATACTTAGTTCATTGTAAACAATGATCTGATACCAAATTGTCACACCCCCAAACCAGTATGACGGAAACGTCTGGGGGTGGATGAATTTCATGAATAGTATCACAACATAATGTACAATAGTGATCAAAGCAAACACAACCATCATAAATATAATTGAGAATGTTACATTGTTTCCAAGTATTGTATGTTTCAAACGAATTACATTATGATGAAAAAAATAAATACTATGACGGGATAACGTCCCATCCTCAAAAGCCTTGTGGTTAATTGATTAATGGTTTCATGAGAATACAAGTAGTTTTGAAAGGTGTCAACAATTTAGTTGGTGAGTTCATAAGAGTTTTGTATGTGAAAAATCTGTAACTTTTTCCTTGTAAAATGATAGTGTATGTTTCCAGAAAATCCAATATTTTCTTAAAAATGAGTTGTTGTCTTAGAAATCCTAAGACCAAAAATGTATAAGTATTTCTATACTTCAAATAGTATTATGTAGTTTTATTCTTATATAAAAGCATTTGAACGCACGTTACCCCGTAAACCAAATGTATTGTTGATTCCCCATGTGAGTTATTACAACCATGGTAAAACCGAAGTTGGCCTGCTACAACATTCTTCATGCGTCAGAATGTTAGAAATTTGTCACCCCAGACCTGCCGGTCTAGCTGTAGCTAGCAGCTTAGGTGCAGGATTGTCAGTCTCATATAGATCTATACACAAGTGTCACGCTCTTTTACCGAGAATCTAGTTATATTCAGGACTTTAGTATGTACTCTAGTAGGTACGGTGAAGACTTTGTCCCACATAATTGTTTCAACAAGTTTATGTATTGTGTAATGAAAACCCTTGTAAGTGTAAATATCACCTTTCCATAGTATTTACATATTGGAAAAAAATAATTATACTTTTATATAATTATTCGTCTAGTCCCAAAATGATAAAATAGTATTAATGACCAATAAACTATACATATTATAGTTTCAGATAAATGTTTTGTTGTGCCAATATATACTCACATATATACAACTTAACATGTTTAGATGTTCATAAATAACATATAATTTACATCTAACAGAAGTATATGAACATTTAGTATGATGCAGTCAATTTTCTAGTTTTTAGCATTTTTTCATCACTAAACGGTAAATATTGAGTTATAAACTTGGTAAATTTTATTTTTACCTTTTTTTTTTGTAGAGATTAAGTCAAGCTATCCTTATATGTTTAAAACCACATATTTTAGGTCAAATCTCACAAAAATGGTACCATAACCTAGTCATGACCATTTTTGCTAGAAAACCCTAA